AAAGTAGCAGCTTTGATGAGTTCCTCGTCCTGAGATTCTGTCAATATCTGAATCATAAGTGGCAGACCATTGTTCTGAAGCAGCTCACACTGGTTTTCTTCTAGAAAAGACATGGTAAGGAAAAGGTTTGGTTTCAGCCCCACACACCTTAACCTTACAGTAATTTTAGGAGCCAATACTGGCAACTTTCTGCAAGTTTCTGTAGAAAGAGAGGTTTTCATTACAGACCCGAGCCTGCTGCAGTGACAGCAGGAGAGCTTTCCATCACACAGGATGATTTGACCACAACTCAGATTTCTGTAAGAGAACTGAGGGATTGACACCACTTATTCGATGGAGTTCCAAGCTCATTTAATTGTGGCCTAAAACATTTCAATAATGACTCCTGTATTTCTTCTGTTCCATTACCTACTCTTGGAGTAGATAGGTGACATTCCTGTGAGGCCTGAGATGCAGAAATACCAAAATCTCAACGTTTATAATTATCAAAATGGAATTAGTAGTTTAATCCTGGTCTAGCCGATCTGTTCCTCCTCATTTATTACATAATTAGCTCAATTTTTATTGTGATCTCATTCACATATGTGTTCATATAACTGATAACTTGCTAAACATAGTTCTTTCTTCTTTAAACTTAATAAAAAAAGAAATAAAAAAAACCTAAACATATTTATTTTGACAGTTGACATTTTTGGAGAAACCTTTTTTCTATCAGTTTAATAATCTTTCTATTCAAAAGACATTTTCCATTAAGTCTTGTTTCACTAATTCTTCCTGAAAAAATGTCTGCTCAAATAAATTTATGACCTATTGAGCTAATTATTGAACATGATATTGGCACTCAGGGGATAAAAATCAACCAGAATTTTTGAACATAAGGCCTTTTTCTTGTTAATCTAAACATACATGAGAAAAAACAGAAGTACAAATTAACTTCCCTATCTCTTTGCTTGCACTGCCACAAAATACCAACTGAAGTGCTGTATTTGCACCAGATATGCTTGGGCAAGCCCTGAGGAAGGTGACAAAAACATTTCAGGGCTACCTACTGCATCTGTGTCTTAAAGACCATTGCTCTTATAAATATTACTGGCCTTGTAAGTAGTGGACAGAAGCTGTATGTGCTAAGGACCATGAAAAAGAGCTCAAGACAACTAATTTGCTATGTCTGGATTGCAGTAGCTTTCAGGTCTGGATTAATTATTCCCTGTGACCCCTAAACCCAGCTCTGAATTCTTGCATGTTTAGTCTACTTTTTCAAAGCTACTAAAGACACTTCCTGCTAACAAGCTTTAAAATTTAAGGATGGAACATTACAGAAAACTTCTTATCCGAATATTGACACTGTATTGTTTAATAGAACTCTCTCTCATGTTCCAGTCTTGATGAAGTGATCCCACTGGAGGAGTCAGTCTGTAAGAATTTAGGAGAAGCTGACAGAAAGGAAAAATAAAAAGCAAATCTTACCACAAATTTCAGTACAGTGTCCAATTGTTAGAATGATACTGATTTTTTCCCCTGTGCTCAGTGTCTCATTGGACAGCAGCTTCAGCAGCTCTGACACAGTGTGATACTTTGCCAAGACAACACCCATGGTAGCTGTTTGTTAAAATAATTGGAAGGAAAATAAATCAGATCATGAGTGTACAGAAATTATCCAAGGATAAAATGCTGGGGTTTGATGGAACCCTACAAACCCCTCAAAACCTTGGGCCTGCTCAGCCCTGCCCTGCTTCACCTTTACCAGCTCAGATTACCCCATCCCCCTGTGCTGCTCCCAAATCCAACCCTGCCCATCCTCCCGGCCTGTGTGCTCCACAGAGATGAGGCAGAAGATCTGATGAATGAGGGCTTTGCACTGTGCAAGCTTTGGAGATCCCTGCTGAGTTTCTCCACGTCCTTTATCAGCTCCAGCATGGAGCCAGAGAGATTTGGATCAGCTTTGACACACAGAGTATCTGCCATAAAAAGAGCAGGGGCCAAGCCCTTCCTGGCACTGGCAACACCACTGCTAGTCCATCCATGCTGAGGCCCAGTCCTGTCACACCCAACTGATCTGAAACTACCCTCAGAACTGGTACAGGTTTGTGCTTTTAAACGTTTGTGAACTTCCATTTGAAGCTCTTATTGCACAAGTGTGAGATACAGCAACCATGGCCACAGCACAAGCTCCTTAGGGTCACAGGTTTCTGCAAACCTTCTGTGGAATACAAAAGACCTCATCAGGAGAGCAGTACCCAGCCAGCAAACCGGAGCACAGTGTGCTGTGCAGAAACACCACATTTGTGCAGCTCCACCTCTGAATTACTAAAGCTTCCTAAGGCTACACAATTT